TATGGTTAAAAATTATTAGTGAGATTCATTAAATGAAATAGAATGTAAGACTCACATAATTTTATATTTTTTTTCAGAAAATTTAAGTAAATAATAACAAAAACATGTTCAATAGAGTGTTAGAGAATGATAAAGTGAATTGTTTTCATTTCTCATCATAGTAAGTGTAACTCTCTTTTCATACATACATATAAAACTCAAATGTGTTAATATATAATACCTTTATCTTTGATTATAAGAAAATTTTAATCATATTATACCTTTTAAGAAAATTAGTTAATTTAGTTAAAAATATTTTATTTTTCAATAATAAACTAATTTTACAAAATTATCTTAAGAATTCTTTAAAATAACCTTTGAAAAAAAAAGAGAATAATAACTTTCTTTATTTTTACTTAATCATTTTCACCTAATTAATTAATGTTTAGAAGAGAGATATTTATGTGTCAATTTATCTTCTTCAATCCTAATAAAAGAGAGGAATTTTCCTCGAGTTAATTCCAAATATTTATTACCTTTTGTCTAAAACAATGATTAATTAAATAAAGATATAAGGATATTATAAAGAAGATATAATTAATGCAAATGGAAATTGGAATAAAGGTCTAATAAAAAGGAACAAAGTGAAAAGGGTCATATATGTCATATATAGAGAAATAGGTAGTCATCAAATAGTTTCTAATTTTTTTTTTTAATTTACAATTGATCTATGTATTAATAATTTTTAATTGAATGATTGAATTTTTAAAATTTGATGGGCAACATAAATTATTGAGTTGAGTAATTTAGGTAGACTTACTCTTCTTAATTACTCATATTTTACATCAAATCTTAATAATCCAACCGTTGAATTAAAAGTTTTTAATGTTTAGATCAAGCTTACAAAATTTTAAAATTTTGAAAACTATTTGATGCCCCATTTCTTTAATTCATTTGATGGATAATCATAAAATTATTTTATATGTTGATTTTAAATTATGAAATGGAGTATCAAATAATTTTTAAATTCTTTTAAAAATTTGCAGACTTTACTTATACATTAAAAACTTTTAATTGAATGGCTATATCATTGAAATTGATGCAAAATATGAGTAATTAAGTGAAGTAAGTTTAGGTAGACTTACTCTTAGAGTAAATAAATCTCTTTTCACACTCACAAACACATGCTCACACACACATATAATGATGACTATGAGAGCTCATGTTTCATTGATCCAAACTACACACATATATATCATGTTGAGTATGACAGATGATGTTTGATTGATCCAAAATATTGTGATATATATATATATAGTTTTGGTTATGCACTTTGGCAAATTCTATTATTCAACTTTTGTTTACAACATCCACTTAAAGTTTATGTATTCCAAACATTTCACTATTGCAAAAAGGGTCTTATAAAAAAGGATAAGTGAGAAAGTGAAAAAGATTTTATAAATAAAGATGTAGATATTATATAATGTGTGTGTATACATGTATGTGTATTCAACACACATATACATATGTATATCTCACAATAATTTGGATCAATCAAACATCAGCTCACAAATTAAATATTATATATATATATATATATATATATATATATATATAGTTTTAACGAAGCACTTTTACAAATTCTATTATTTAACTTTTATCTTAAACATCCACTTAAAGTTTATGTATTCTAAACATTTCATAATTAGAATAATATTACCACTTGCATATACTCAATATTTGGATTTAATAAAATAAGATTTATGCCACTGTAATTAACACAATAAAGACTCCTTTGTACTAATGGAAATAAGCAAAAGTGTAAGGGTCAAATAAAAAGGTTGAAAGCATATGTGAGTATTTTTCTCCTCATTTTTATTCATTTTTTTTTCATTTATACTATTTTTTTGTTAAACAGAATGTATGGGGATATTGTGGAAGCATTGCATATGCAAGATGTGGTTCCACCAGAGCAACCATTGTATGCTCGTGTAGTGATTCGTGCTGAAGCCATGCATATGATTGATCATATCCTTGAGAGTACAAATAAAGTAAAACTCTCCATCAATGGAAAACATGCTTGGGCTAGAAAGTATGTTCGCAAAGATAACAAGTGATCACCTAAGGAAAAATTACCAATGGCTTCTTGATCACCTTCACCATATTGAACATAGACATCTTATTGATAAATAATTTCTTGAAATGGGTTCAATTGCTTTTATAAGAAGATGTTAGGTTTTGTTGTCAATCACTAGTGGAAAAATAGGATACTACGTCACCCATTTTACATCGGATATACAAAGACCCGACGTAATAAAAACGCGGTGGCACGTTTCGTAATTTTGTTAAATTATTTATGTCGGACCTCCAAGGGTCCGACGTAAATTTTAACATCTACGTAGGCTATACATTGTGTCCGACGTAGATGTTAAAATTTACGTCGGACCCAATTAGGGCCGACATAAATAACCCACGGGATACTTAAAAGAAGGTGTATTGCACGCACTAGCTAGTTCAAAAATTTCATGGTTTCCTTCTCCCGCCTCCTCCTCAAATTGTGCACCTTCTTCTATCTATTTTTCTTCCTCATCTCTCCGCCTCCTCCTCAAATCGTGGCTGTCCTCCTCATCTGCACCTTATTCTGTTTTTCTTCGCGTGATGATGTTTTTCTTCTTCGGAAGGTTACGTTTTTCTTCTTCGGAGGGTTGCGTTTTTCTTTTATGAGGTAGCATCTTCTATCAAGTTTGTGTTTTTTGGGATGTTTTTTTCGTAATAATGTTTGTGTTGCATTTCGCGCGAGTTTTTGAAGCTGGAGAAGGAAGTGACCAAGTCCGGGTTTGGAGACGCACTCCTGGGTCTATCAAGCAGAGAAGGAAGTGACCAAGTCCGGGTTTGGAGACGCACTCCTGGGTCTATCAAGCAGAACGGGTCGTTCTGCTTGGAGAACGGTCCGTTCTGCTTGCACTCAATTTTTTTTTAAATAACTTTTTTACGTCGGAACTGCCCGTTCTGGGCCCTTCAAACCTATGTAAATTTTTCAACTAGAACGGCCGTTCCCAAACCAGAACGGCCCGTTCTCAACCCAGCAGAACGGCCCGTTCTGCTTCCAGAACGACCCGTTCTCCAATCCAGAATGGCCCGTCCTCCCATCAAAACGGCCTAATCTGCTTCTACAATTTTGGTCATACTCACTATTCCAGAACGGCCCGTTTCAAAATTGAAACGGCCCGTTCTGGGCCACGAATTGGGCCAAAGGCCCACAAAAAATGGGCTGTTACAATTTCACTTATAATTTTGTGGTTTTTAATAAATTTTATCTAATAATAAAAAGAATTAGTAAAAGTGTGATAGAAAATATATTATTAACACTCGGTAAATAAGAATTTTAGTCAGATATGTTTGGTTTGAAATATAGGAGGAAAATAAAAAGGAAAGAAATAAATAGGAATCATAGAAATAGAATGAAAAGTATATTGAATGCATAAATAAAATTAGGAAGAAAGGAAGTAATATGTGAAATTTTGTAAGATAAATCAGTGTGTACAGAAGAAAGAGATAAGACAGGTGGTGATGATTCTGGTGAAGCCCATATTACTTGTATCTGGGCTCTTTGATGGTCTTTGATATGGTCTTCGTTAGTGTGTACAACGGTCCACTTCTTACATTGAAATTGAAGTTCCACGAAAGTGATGATTTCGAATTGATGGAAAACAACGGTGTTGACTAGTTAGTATCATTCGGATTTGAGGTGATGTTTAATTTATTAAATCTTTTAAATCAAATTAATTTGATCGGTTTGAATCATCAAATTGAGATAAAGAATATTATTGTACATTAATTTTAAAAGTCGCTCTTGTCATTTATATTATTATTTTTTATATAAAATTGTAAGTTTTATATCATTACAAATTAAAAAGTTTCTTATTTTTCAATAATTCCAAACAATAGTTAAATCAACTTTAGATATTGATAGTATGAGTTTTAAATAGAGTTTAAAGATAACGCACTAGTAATCGTTAACCAATCAAATATTGTAATTAATACGATTATTTATTTATTTATTCTTAAAGTCAACAATTTATTATAGTTTATAATTTGTGATTGAATTATAATATAAAAATAAATTATAGAGGAGCATCACAGGTTTTTTCTTTCAAACAATAATATTTACCTTTTTCTATAATTACAAACTTCTTAACTTCTGTCAAAAGGTATGATAATGAAGTTGAGTAAACAAGGCCCAAAACACTTAAAAAAAAAACACTAGAAGAGAAGGTCAAAATAAATGAAAAAAAATATAAAAATAAAAGAGAATTCTAAATGCTAAAGTTTTATATAAATTTAAAAGTATAAAATAAAGTTGATCGGATAATTAATCGAATCAATTTTCGAATTGGAAAAAAATATAATCTAAAAATTAAATCGATTGAAATTGATTTAGTTTTAATTTAAAGTAAAATGAACGCATTATTTAAATTAATCTAAAACATTTAATTAATTTCATTTTAATTATTAGGTTCGTTCACACAATTTGATCGGATAACACCTATGAAAAAACTTGTGACTTTGTACTAGTTTAATAAATGGCCACGAGGAACCATTAATCCACCATGGATCGAAGGGTTACTGATTTGGAGTAGAGGTAGCTGAAAGAATATTTAATCACAAATTCCATTTTGCATTTGGCTCTTGTACATGCATAGCGACATGAGTGAACTGATGAACATCCATTTAAGTTAGAAGTGGCTCTTTATAAGTGGTTTACACCGTATAAAACTCACAATGTGTTCGCATGTTCCATTTAATTTTGTAGTTTACGAAGTTCGAAAGCCACAAAATGTGCTCCATTTTGAAGTCGGTGGTGGGTGCATAATGCCACCTTACCAAATTCCCAAGCACAAGTTCTTGGTGGGCTTGACCACTTTCTGATCAGTGCGTAATGTGCGCTAACCTACTACTTAACATCCACACACCACACTACCCGGAAAAAAGAATGAAAGTAAGAAAGAAAAACACGTCAATTAAATCATTTCATTATACGACCCAAGAAACAACCACATGCTCCACTATAAATCATTAACCAATACAAAAGAACTCAACCGTGTAATACTACTCCAAAATCAAAAGCATGGTTTTATGTAGGCATAAACAACCTTCAGTTCCAATTCCAACTCTCCTCATCACCTTATTCTTTCTTTCCATTTTCTTAGTAGATTGCCAAATCCTTGAAACTCCATCACCACCATCCGATTCACTCCCATTAATCCCTGACATTTTGAACTTCTTAGACCAGAGGGTGGTTCAGGTTATCCCAATTATTCAAACCTTCAAGAACACTATAACCTTAGACCCTTTGGGAGTAACAACAACATGGGTTGGTCCAAACGTATGCAACTACACAGGCTTCTATTGTGGCAACCCACCCGATAACCTCACCGCCACAACCGTTTCCTCAATCGATTTCAATGGCTTTCAAATCACAGCTCCAACTCTCGACGGCTTCATCGACCAACTCCCAGACTTGGCCCTCTTCCATGCAAACACCAACAATTTCTCCGGCACCATTTCTCCAAAAATAGCGAATCTCAAGTTTCTATACGAACTTGACCTAAGTAACAATTTTTTCTCCGGGGTATTCCCCACATCGATCCTTAAGATCCCCACGTTGTCCTTTTTGGACATTAGGTACAACTTTTTCAGCGGCACCGTGCCCCCACAAATTTTCATGCAAACATTGGACGTACTTTTCATCAACAATAACAATTTCATGCTGACGCTGCCCAACAACCTAGGAGACACCCCGGTGGTTTATCTCACGTTGGCCAACAACAAATTCACGGGCCCTATTCCTCGCAGCATTGGAAAAGCCTCGTCCACGTTGGTCGAAGTGTTGCTACTGAACAACCTTTTAACGGGTTGTCTTCCCTACGAAATTGGGTTCTTGGGAAACGTGACATTGTTCGATGCTGGTGGGAACCTCTTAACTGGGCCTATTCCGTGGTCCTTTGGGTGCTTGAAGAAAGTGGAGCAGCTGAACCTGGCTAGGAACTTTTTGTACGGACAGGTTCCGGAAGTGGTGTGTGCGTTGGGGAATTTGGCGAATCTTTCTTTGTCATATAATTATTTTACGAGAGTGGGGCCCTTGTGCAAGAAGCTGATTCAAAGGGGGGTTCTTGATGTGAGGAAGAACTGTATTTTCGGTCTTCCGGATCAGAGATCGGGGAGGGAGTGTATGGCGTTCTTTTTGATTCCGAGAACTTGTTCGCACCCTGCGTCGTTTAATATTATACCGTGTCAGATTCATCATTCGACGAAACCCTCGGAGAGAACTAGGAGGCATTTGCTTTCATATTCTGCTCTTTCTAGAAATAGAGTTATTTTGTAACTCAGGATTGTGTAGTCTGGACTAATTTCCGCGCATACACAGAATCTAATGGGTGAAATAGGTTATATATTCATAATAAATTTTTACAACATTTACATGATATATATACTCCTATTCACACTTTTTTTTCTTCTTCTGTTAAGTGGTAGATGTTGTAAAAAGTTGTGTACAAGTTGAGTTATAGAGGTATTGGGATGTGGTTCGGTTCTGGTTTTTACTTAAAAGTTATTTTAACCAAACAAGAAAATTAAATGTAACTTGATTTGGTTTAGTTTAAATTTATATATTATGAAATTCGAGTGAAACCAAATTAATTTTTAATAATTTGGTTTGATTTGATTTTTACGATTTTTGTGTGTAGGAATTATCTATTTTTCTGTCTAAATTTATCTCGAATTATTTGATAAGTAGTAGAAATAAGATGACTAACATTCCAACAATAAAATATTAGACGAGCAAATTATTACAATCAGCAACATTAATTCCACCAATTATTATAATCATAAACACAAATATCAATAAAAGTCATTCCAGCAATATTTTAGCATTCCAACAAAATATTCCAACAACTTTCTAGTATTCCACCAAATATTACAACATGAACACAAATATAAGTCGGAAATTGACAACATTATATAGGACCAACAAAATATTACAGCTACAAAAATAGTTTATGATTCTTCATCTTAACAATCCAACACTAACAACGTTATACTAAAATAAATCCAAAATTTTCATCATAACAATTTAGGACTAACAAGAAGACACTACAACACCAAATCTTCCACACAAACAACATTAATGTCCAATAGTCCCATCTTATATAAAATTAAACATCATCAATATCGATTCAATTTTAATAAAAAAATAATAATAAATTTAGAAATTACCTATCATATCATATTAAGAGAATTAACTTGAACACTAAGTGTAACTACTAATCAAACTCAATATTAAAATTGTCTTCAATTAGCAGTGGGATCGGACTAATTTGTAAAAATTTATAAAATATAATAATCATTAATCAATTTGGAAGAAAAAATAGATAACAATAATTACTTAGTTGTACCATTTAAAAATAAAATCTAATACCTTATTCAAAATTTTCAATATCTTCCATGAGCTCTTCAATGTTCGTTGACCATGGGGAGGATTCACACCCACTTTGTACAAATTAATGCTTAACTATTTTTTGGTGAAAGATAACTCCTATATCAATTAAGCACTTTACCTCCAATGTTGAAAGTAGACTCAGAAGTAACAATAGACACAAGCATGACCAACAAATCTCTAATAATATGATTAGGAATATGACATTTGCTATAATTCACTTTCCACCACATTAAAATATCAAAAGTACTACTTTTCTTTTCCAAACCCTCCATAATATCCATTTCATTTTTTTCAAACTCTCATTAAGATTCATATCCTTTTCGAATTCCATAGGAAATAAAAATTTTGGTGCATCAAATTCTTCCATTCCTATCCCCATTTCAGCTCAAGTAATATCATGCAATGCTCATTGAAATATTCAAAAAAAAAAAAAAAGTTACAAAATTTGTTCCTAAAACTTTGAGTGATATCAAAAAATATTTTCAATAATTTAATAAAGCATCTTACATTATCCCAATCTTCATTGTTTGGAACTCCACCATCCAACATCACATACTGATAACACTTCTCACCCGGTCTTTTAAATGCCTTTCGAAATTTTGATGCAATTTCAATTATTATGTAGGTAGAGTTCCACCTAGTTAAAACATCCAATTGCATAGTACATTTGTCAACTATCCTACCTTCCTTGATGCAAATTTTGAACCTATCCATGCGACCAAGTGATGCACGAACATCTCTAACTGCATACCTAATTTTGTTTATTGAAGAATGATACTCCTTCAATCCATCATTCACCATAAGATTTAAAATATATAAATGACACCTAACATGCATGTTTTCTCCTTTTAATGGATGTGTATTCCAATCCTCAATTCTACTTTTCATGTAAGTTACACTAGTACAAAAGAGACATTTTACATTTGTTATTTTGGATTTTTTACGTCGGGAAAAAGTCTAATGTCAATGCGGGAGACGTAAATTTACGTTGGGTGTTTTAGCAGACGTAAAATTACGTCAGACATCCTCCACGTCGACGCAAAATGGTTGACAGACAAACAAAAAAATAACTTCAATCTAAGAACATGTCCAAAAAATACCCAATGCTTCAATCCAATCGGAGAGATAGGTCCAGCATAAAAAATGGGTCTTGCCGCCGTGCTCCGTGAATGGAAAACACCCAAAGGTCTCACACTACTGTCACCGGAAACCATTGGAGAGGAAAACAATGTCAAAACACTCACATGCAGGAATAAAACAACATTTTTATATAGAAAGATCAACACACGCATGAAAGCACTAACCTCAATCCGTGAAAACACCTAAATGCTTCAACCCAATCGGAGAGATAGGTTCAGAATCAAAAATGGGTCTCGCTGCCGTTGTCGTCGCCGCTCATCGTGACCGAAAAACACCCAAAGGTCTCATACTACTGTTGCCAGAAATCGCTAAAGGAAAACCCTAGAGGAGAACAATGTAAAAATACTTGCGCGCACGATGAAGACAAAGGTTCTGGGGGAAAAATAACTTTTTTACGTCGGGTCAAAAGGGGTCTGACGTAAAAATTGAAATCTATGTCGGACTAGTACTATACTTCATATCTGACGTAGATTTTAATTTTTACGTCGGACCCCCTTTGGTCCGATGTAAAAAGGTTTAGATTAATTTCAAAAATGTCACTGCGTATTTTTTTACGTTGGATATTTTTATGACCAACGAGAAAATGCTACCGTAAAAGACTAATTTTCCACTAGTGTTATTGTAACATCATTTGAGCTAACATTGTCAACTGTAATGGTGAAAAGTCTTTTAGAAAAGATGACTTTATCTAAGAAGGGGTGAATTGAATATTTAAAAAATTTGTTTTTAGGATATTTAATTTTCAAAACTTTTCTAAAACTTTTCCAATGAAGTTTATTGATTCAGCTGATATAGGATAGATTGTTGAGATTGATTTCTAAATTTAAGAACAGATTATATGTTAAATCCTATATGATATACATGATTCAAATATAATAGATTTAATACATTCAACTAATGTTAGCAAGAACTCAAATAAAAAGTGTAAGGATGGAGAGAAATGACATAAGAATTTATATTGGTTTAGTCACTACCACTATAACCTACATCCAGTCTCCAATCAACTTGATTGAGACTTTTCACTATCTTTAGATTCAAAGTATTACAATCATGTACGAATGTAATAAACTCTTAGAATCTTAAAGATAAACTCATTTCTTGAACTCCAAGAAATGCCCCTTGTAGTCACCTACTACAAAATCTTTAATCTTGAGAAACCTACTCAAAAACAATGATAAAGAGAGTTTTAGAATGAATTTATCTAGATACATAATCAATTAAAGAGGTGAATCAAAGTTAGAGCAGCCTAGTCTTCCTTTCTAGTTGGACGATGATGATTCTTGAACCCTTCTTTAAAATTATCCACAAAGATCAAAGGATTCTTTCATAGAAAAAACACATAATTTCATAGAGCCTTTTTCGCAAGAGATTTCACAAAGTTACAAGTATTTCAATTGTTTTTTGTTTTGAGTTTGAAAATTGGTTTTTATAGAACTCTTTGACTGAAATAAATGATTATTTTCAAAGATAATTGATTATTTTATTCCTAGTAAATTTGGAAACTAGTCAAGAATACTTTAATTGATTATTTATTGGAATAATTGATTAGTACAAAGTGTTGACTTTGAAATAACCAATTATTGTACAATGATTATCGATTATTACAGTATGATTCACAATATGAGAAAACACAATGTAAATAATCGATTATTTTGAGTTATAGACTCAAATTCTAAATTTTTCAAGTTTAAAATCAATTTAAAAATCTTTTCATCATCAATCATCATCTAACAAGAAATATATGATGAAGTTACTCATAATGCACAAAGCAAGAATGTCTAACAAAGCATAAGCACACATCAATACAATTTGCACTCTCTTGAAGATGAGAGGCAATATGTATAATCATCAAAATATAAATTAAGTCTTCATCTTTGAGCTTGGTCAACAAAGTCTACTTATCAACAACCTCTCTAAGTATTTCTCAATTTTTCTACCAATTGTTTCTCCTTTGTGATTCTTAATTGGAAAAAAATTTAGAATCACTAGTGAAAAAATAGGATACTACGTCACTCATTTTACGTCGGATATACAAAGACCCGACGTAATAAAAACGCGGTGGCACGTTTCGTAATTTTGTTAAATTATTTACGTCGGCTATGCATTGTGTCCGACGTAGATGTTAAAATTTACGTCGGACCCAATTAGGGCCGACATAAATAACCCACGGGATACTTAAAAGAAGGTGTATTGCACGCACTAGCTAGTTCAAAAATTTCATGGTTTCCTTCTCCCGCCTCCTCCTCAAATTGTGCACCTTCTTCTATCTATTTTTCTTCCTCATCTCTCCGCCTCCTCCTCAAATCGTGGCTGTCCTCCTCATCTGCACCTTATTCTGTTTTTCTTCGCGTGATGATGTTTTTCTTCTTCGGAAGGTTACGTTTTTCTTCTTCGGAGGGTTGCGTTTTTCTTTTATGAGGTAGCATCTTCTATCAAGTTTGTGTTTTTTGGGATGTTTTTTTCGTAATAATGTTTGTGTTGCATTTCGCGCGAGTTTTTGAAGCTGGAGAAGGAAGTGACCAAGTCCGGGTTTGGAGACGCACTCCTGGGTCTATCAAGCAGAACGGGTCGTTCTGCTTGGAGAACGGTCCGTTCTGCTTGCACTCAATTTTTTTTTAAATAACTTTTTTACGTCGGACCTTGGCATGTCCGACGTAAATTTACGTCGGTTTTCGCGCCCCGACGTAAATTTACGTCTCTCGCTTCTACGTCGGAAGTTTTTCTGACGTAAAAACCCCTAAAATGACCGACGTAAAATGTGTATTATGTACTAGTGAATCCTTTTATGTAACTTCCAATCATCCTATGAAATGCACAATAAGAGAAAGATAACCCA